ACACAAATTAAAAACACATGCTACTGAATGCACACTGGTGTACCTCGTGCTTACACAACCGACTCAAGAGTGAAGCTGAGCATTAACCAAAGCTCTTCCATAAATATGTAATAAAATATTGTGGTACTTTTTTTCCTCTAAATAAAGCTGATAATCATCAATGGAAATCCTAAATGAGAAAGAGACTAAAAAACCTGTCCCTTTGTTAAATACATAAAGACTACAATATTCTTCCAGGTGCTTAAATATGAACAGAAGGTCAGAGAAAGTGTAACCCCTGTGATGAGCAAGACTGGCAAACTGGTAACAAAGGACAGGAAGGCTGAGGTCCTCCAATTTTTTACCTGTCTTCTCTAGCAACCTCTTTTCCCACAGCTCTAGAGTAAATAGACTGCAGGGCAGGGACTGGGGAAGCAAAGTCCCTCCCACTGCAAGAGAAGATCATGTTAGTGACCACCTGAGGAACCCTAACATACATAAATAAGTCTATGGGACCTGACAAGATGCATCCCAGAGTCCTGACGGAATTGGCTGATGTAGCTGCCAAATCACTCCTCATGACAGTTGATAAGTCATGGCAGTCAGGTGAAGTCCCTGGTGACTGGAAAAAGGGAAACATGGCACCCATTTTTAAAAAGGGTAGAAAGGAGGACCCTGGGAACTACCAACCTCTCAGCCTCACCTCTGCCTGGGAAGATCATGGAACAGATCCTGCTAGAAGCTATGCAAAAGCACATGGAGGACAGGGAACTGATACGAGACAGCCAGCGCGGCTTCACCAAGGACAAGTCCTGCCTGACCAACCTAGTGGCCTTCTATGATGGAGTGACTACATCAGTGGACAAGGGAAGAGCTACGGATGTCATCTGTCTGGACTTCTGTAAGACCTCTGACACAACCCCCAACAACATCTTTCTCTCTAAATTGGAAAGACATGGATTTGATGGGTGGACTGTTGAGTGGATGAGGAATTGGTTGGATGGTCGTATCCAGCGGGCAGTGGTCAATGGCTCAATGTCCAGTCAGAGACTGGTGACAAGTGGTGTCCCTCAGGGGTCCATCCATATTGGGACCAGTGCTGTTTAATATCTTCATCAATGACACAGACAGTGGGGTTGAATGCAAGCTTGCAGATGACACCAAGCAGAGGGGTGCAGTTGACACACCTGAGGGACAGGATGCAATCCAGAGGGACCAGGGACCTGGACAAGCTCAAGAAGTGGGCCCATGGGAACCTCATGAGGTTCAACAAGGTCAAGTGCAAGGTCCTGCACCTGGGTCAGGGCAATCCTCAGTATCAATAAAGGCTGGGGGATGAAGGCATTGAGAGTAGCCCTGTGGAGAACAAATTTGGGGCACTGGTGGATGAAAAGCTGGACATAAGCCGGTAATGTGTGCTTGCAGCTCAGAAGGTCAACTGTATTCTGGGCTGCATCACAAGAAGTGGGGCCAGCAGGTTGAGGGAGGTGGTTCTACCCCTCTATTCTGCTCTGGTGAGACCCCACCTGGAGTACTGTGTCCAGCTCTGGAGTCTTCAGCACAATAAAGACATGAACCTGCTGGAGTAGGTCCACAGGAGGCCACAAAAATGATCAGAGGGATGGCACACCTCTTCTATGAAGAAAGGCTGATAGAGTTGGAGTTGTTCAGCTTGGAGAAGAGAAGGCTCCAGGGAGATCTATTGCAGCCTTTCAATACTTAAAGGGGGGCTGTAAGAAAGATGGGGACAAACTTTTTAGCAGAGCCTGTAGTGATAGGACAAGGGGTGACAGTTTTAAACTAGAAGAGGTAGATGCAGACTAGATATACGAGAAAAATTTTTTATGATGAGGGTGGTGAAACACTGGAACAGGTTGCCCAGAGAGGTGGTAGAAGCCCCAGGCCTGGAAAGGTTCAAGGTCAGGTTGGACGGGGCTCTGAGGAACCTGATCTAGTGGAAGATGTCCCTGCTCACTGCAGGGGGGTTGGACTAGATGACCTTTGAAGATCCCTTCCAACCCAAACCATTCTATGATCCCCAAATACTGGCACCTTCTTTTTAAACACTCAAAGTTCTCTGACTACATAAGCAGAAGCTCCAGTGGATGCTCAGGTACTCACTGGACAGACACTCCTGCCTCCCCAGTACCAGATCAGCCACTAGAGCATTTGCACAGGAGTACGGAAATGAAGCCTTTAGGCTCTCTCTGGCCTGAGTAACTTGAAACCACAGCTCTCACTTGCAGGAGCGTGTGACATCTATTCCTGTTTAACCTTCAAATCTACATCTGAAATTTAATGAGAAATGCTAGAGGCACACGACCAGGAAGACAGGCATTATTCCAGCGGTCCTTCGGGAGGAACAAGCCACAGGGGTTTGTTCCCTCCTCTCAGGGATGTGCATTTTTATCCTAGACAATCACTAGTAAGAGCAGCTGGAAAGAAAAGCACATGTGCTTGCTTTTTGATAGACATTTTAACTATGAAGATGCAAAAGGCAGATGGCATCAACACTGTCTGACAGACAGCTGTCCTTAAAAGAGGACCGCATACTTTAAATCCCAAGACAAATATAAATGCCTCCTGTGAAGGCAGTGAAGTACCTGGTCTGACACTTCCACATGCCCGGCATTTTCTATTATCAAATCATATTCTTCATACGTGGGCATCCTGAGGGAGCTGGACAAGATTACATCCAGAAGTCCCTTTTGATTTGAGTTACAAGATTCTCAGTTCACATGTTGGAAGAAGACTCCCCACACAGTAAATACAGAAAGGGAGGTACTAGATTAGGCTTTCTGATCCCTAAGTTCTCTCCATTCGCTACACAAGACAAAACACAGACCACCATCTGCTCTGACTGAGGCACACAAAGGCAGCACATGCCCAATTTTAAGATGAGCTCAACTGCAGTGTGGACACAAAGGGTGGCGGCAACAACCTAAAACTGAGTTAGTTAAAAGCTGTTTGAAATACCAACAGTGAATACTGAATCTCTTCAAGGATTTTTTTATTTTGCCACTAGAACACATGCTTCTTCAGGAAAATAGGAAGTATACACATTCTTAAAGTCAGTTAATTTCCTAAAAATTAGTCTCCTAAGGTCCCACAGAACAATTCCACAGAGATCTGTAAGTAGAAGAACATTTCAAACTTACGTCCAGGGATATAGTAGTGGTTATTTCTAAAGCTGAAAGGTGTTATAACAGAAAATAGTGCTCAGACACCATTTAAAGTATTAGTACTAATTAAGTTATGACAGTTACTAAGCTCCTCTTTTCTGAACAGTATACAAAACAACAGAGATAAGAAGTGATCTGGAACACAAGATGTATGGGAAAATGGTTTTGTGCAACATGGATGTCATCTGACAGTCATCTGTTGTACAAACGAACTGAAGGTTCACTAGCTCAAACTGGGATTTATCTCTGTCAAGACAGACACTGTGAAAACAGTTACCAACTCTAAATCTGAAATGGGAAGAGAACTTACAGTACAAAAACTGAAATGATTTCCTACATATTCAGAACAAGGAAACAGCTGAAAGGTAAGCTGCAGTTTCCACCACAGCTCTTACACCTGTCTCATGTTTTGCATGTTTCACAGAATACACTACATGACAAAAACTAAAAGTTTTGCATCTTTTTTAAGGTACATTCTTCATATCCTTACTGTTGTTCATTTACACTGCTATTATTTCCAGGGTTATCAACTACACTTTTTAAAGCAAGATCTGTTCTTGAATTATAAAATATATGCTATATATGCCCATGGTTTTAGTTCTCAGAATATTTCAAAGAGATGATACAAAGTAATTCCACCCTTAATTTACATTATTTAACCTATTTAAAATTTAGTCAATATTCTAACAAAATTCTTACTGATTTTTGGTGTTCTGCCTTAAAAAAAACTTACATGGCCTGATTTTTATAAAGTGTTAGGCATTGACTCAAAAAATACTAAGCCCTTTCTAAAGGTCTGAGGTAAAAATTGAAGAGTGAAGCGCTAGCCCAAGATGTCTCAAAAGTAACTTGATTTTGTGTATCACAGTGCAGGTTCTTAGTTCTACAAAACATTATTTCTCAGATTTCTCAAAATAAAATAGAGAAACCACCAGCAGGAAGTACAACGAGGAGTTCAGTGCAGGTCTGTGTAAGTCCCTCTGTCCTGCTGCTTATACCATATACACATGTGCTCATGCACTTGAAACACTAAAGATTAATCTTATAAAAACAGCTGTATATATAAAATAATTCAACATACCATTAGAAGTTCGGGTGATACCTTTAATGGGACTCTCCAAGCATCTAGGACATGAAGAAAAAAACAAAAATGAAACCATTGGAAAGTTATTTGTAACAAAAGACACATGCTTCTATTTATTCAATGAGTACATATATAAACGCTATGGAACATAGGATTTTAGGACTGAAACTCTTACCTAGAAGGTTTAGAACTAGATGTTGACTAGGAGAAAGTGGATCTTGAAGACTGAATAGTGTGTATCGACTGTGCTGTATCTGCCGCAAAGCTTCAAAATTTCCCAGCAGGATGTCACAGAGCCACTGTGCATTTACACACGGTATTCGCCACTCTTTAGCCTTCTCATACTTCAAGCCACTGGGCCTTATTGTTCAGAGATGAAGAAAAAAAACTGTATTTCAATAACGTCAGTAAAATAGCAACTTTCTAATAATGAACCTAAAATACCACTGGGCCATATTGTTCAGAGATGAAGGAAAAAAATTGTATTCCAATAACATTGGTAAAATAGCAGTTTCTAATAATAAAACTAAAATACCAGTATTGCTGTGTTGGGCTATTGTCTATTTTAATTGTGACAAAGTAGATGCTCTGAAAAAATACTTTTGCTTTATGTGCTAGAACAAGTCAATCTGGGGAGTATTTCTGCCTCAAACGGAATCAAGTTAGATCTGGATTTAACTTAATTTTCCCTCCCCCAATATTTTAAAACAATTATTAAAAAAAAAAGATACTTTACTTAGAGATGATGTAACAGTCAGCATCACTTATAAAATACTGTAAAACAGTGAAATTAGAAATTACTTCTCTTTTGCCTCTCTTCAGAAAGCCAAATTTATCATGCAACAGTGTGCAGTAATTTAGTTCAAGAAACATCATCACTAAGTTTATTACCATCAAATCACAAAATTGGTTAAAATTAACATTCTACAATGAGATGTACCCAGCACCTCACGTTAAGAAAAGCACTAACTGGCAGTAGGGAACTGAGAACGTGAGTACTGCAGAGACAAAGCACTTACTCTTTACAGATGAGAACTGTATTGCTGCGACACAGATAGCCTGTGTACTTGGCACCTGCTAGGTAGGCCATTAGTTTGAGGTCATCTCTGTCACTGTCAACGAATCCTGTCACAGAGATTATCTACAGATAGAAAGAGATAGTTACAAATAACTGAACATAGACGGTACTTACAAAACACGCCTGTTGAAAATATTTTTCTTTTACTAACTTTTTTACATGACAATGAAATATGCAGTATCATAACTAGGGCATATAGGCACTTCATTAAAACATGGCTTGTAGGATACATAAAGTACAATTTAAAAGTTACTTGTTTATGAATAAACATTTCAGGTTTCCAGCACTAGTTCTTACTCAGGAAGAATCATTTTCACTCTGCTGGTCAGCTTTTTCTGATTTACAAAGACTGGAATTTTACTATGAAAGAGCTCACAGCTACTTTTCTTCTCGCACACATCTCACCTCTTTTTTCTGCTGCTGTTTATATTCAGGGAGATAGAAAAACACTTGCTTGCCCTACTCTACTTTTAAAAATCTCCTGAATGCTCTGCTCTACCCTGCCATGAAACCAAATAAACTGTGCCAGCTGATCATAGCTGGTGAACTTGTAATTCCACCTCTCCCTGTTCCTGTCCTTAGTCTTGCCAAGTTTTCATTTTTGCTCTCTCTCCTTTTATTTTGGAAAAGGCAACAGCAATTTTGTTGTTGATAATAAACTATATTTATTATGGTACATTTTACATTTACTACTAACCACTGTGTTCACAACATGCATATTGTTATATTCCAATTTTCCCAAACCTTTATTTCTTTGTATGCCTTTTACAACAGGCTAGCAGCAAGGCTCTCATCCTGGATGACTGCATCCAGGACAAAGAAATTCAATGCCAAGACATACTTTGGCACGTTGTTTTATGTTGCACAGTGTATTTCAAGATGCATCCAATTCAGCTGCAAGTTTATGTTTCAACCCCACAAATTTCAACTTCCCCAGTGCTCCTCATTGCACAGGCTACTGGAACTGTGAACTCCTATTCTCTAACAGCACAGGCTTCCTTTTCTCTTATTTGCAAGGTATTAACGTGGAAAAAGTAAAAAAAAAAAAAAAAGCCCCTAAAAATATTGGGTTATGGTAAAGGAAGCATATACATATGTTAAACGTGCTGTTAGTCAAAAAGTAGGTGTCTTGGATTCCTGTCATCTTGCTATGTACAATTCATGCACCTCTGCTTCTATTTGTAAGAGAATAATTCACAAACATGGGTGTTAAATCTTCAGCACTCAGAACTCTGTAAGACTTGCAAAGCACTCTTAATTCAGTAGTATGCATCACATTAACACAGGACCTTAAGATTCACAGAACCTTTTCTTCTGAGACAAAAGAAATGTGTATTTTGCCTTAAGTAAGCACTTCCTAGCTATATTTTAATACTGCTCATGTAACGAAGCAAGCATTCTTTAGAAATAAGCTCTTTCTTCTCACATGTTGAGAGCATGGCTTTCCTCCTGGTGGAAATGCCACTGGAAAATGAAGGGCTCGATGAGGTGGTACCATTTTCTTCTTCTTCAAGATTGAGTTCAGCCAATGTGCTGTAATACATCTCTTCCTTTCTCTTAAAGCCTATGAATACATACATAAACAGCTTTTAAAAATCAAAATACATCTTTATTTTAATTTAAACTTTTTCTACAATACAAAGCTTCGATTTTTATTGTTTGTTTTTCCTCTACTTTTTCAGGATCCTCCTTCTCATAGCATCTTTCTCAGTGTTCTCTGGAATAATGCCTGCATTATGAAATTCTTGTTTTACCATAACCCACAAATCATAAAAAAGCACATAATGAAAAACTTTAATTTTATACTTACAATCTAAGTATGAAGCACATACTGAGAAGCCCTACCTTTCCAGTAACAAAATGAAAGCATGCATGAATAAACGTTGCTAGTTTTCTTACCTGAGCATACATGTTACTGACTTGGCTTTCACAGAGAAGATGTGTACATCTGCTTGTAAGGGTAGGGTCCACTGTTCCACCATGTGCTTGAATGATCTGGTAAGAAAACAAACCCCAAACTTCTAATACATATAACAATTTTAAAATTACCCTAAGAAACAATCTGAAATGACAGTCTACTCCTTAGGACATTGCCACCATTAACACCTTCTCACTGAACAGTTACCCCCCCAAAAAATGTTTGTTTTCTAGCTTAAGAACGTTTTTGAAAAAAAAAAATGGAGAAAGTAAAATTAAATATGCACCTTTTCAATGAGCTACAAAAAGGCTATTTTTTTAGAATCAATAAAAAAATAAACATATATAAACAAAAATAACCCTTCTCACACTTTTTATTTTTGCAGTATAACTATTAAACAATTTTTCAGCAATAAACACAAGTGCTGTTAAAAATGTCAACAGCTTACTTGATTATGCAAAATTGTATGGAAAATTCAACTACAAAATCCATCAGAAGTTTCTGAAGAACATCAAAGTCCTCTCTTTTAGGAAAGGATACAATCAGATTTTTCTGAAAAATAGAAGTTGGCAAAAAATAGAAACACTCTATTCCTCCATCTTAATCACTCAGGTGGATACCTCACAGCCTATTAAAGGCCAAAATCATATGAAGAAAAAAAAAAAAAAAAGTCTTTTTATACAATCAAGTTAAAGAGAGATAGTAATGCAATATTAAATTTGCTGCACTACAGCTGTCTGATTAAAAGCATAAATAGGAAATAGTTAAGGCTATAACTTATTTAGCTAATGTTCTGACTGAAGACGTAATTCAATCAGGCTGCACATCTAAAGCATTTTTATAACTTTTCCTGTCCAGTTGCAGTTGAATAATGGTTTTTAGGTTGTAGCACAAACATTACACAAAAGGATGTCTAAAGAAAAGCGAGCAGTGCTGAAATACTTCCAATCATTCCTTTTAGGATTTAGTTACTATGACATTACATTATCATAGTTGTTTAAAAACACAGCAGAATCTTACCCGTTTCCAGGTCGCTAACAGCTGTTTGTCAGACATCTGTTCTGGGTAATCAGCAATTGCAAACACACAGCCCAGTAGGAAATACTCTTCTGGAACTGGAATAGTTTGGCACATAAAAGAAGAGAAAATTAAATACTTAAAACTCTGAAAACTTCATCTCAGAACATATTTGCTACACTAATCTTTCCTATTCCCAGGTTATAAACTTCATTCAATTTTGAAGTAATTTTTCCTTGGAAAAAGTTGGATCCAAAATTTCAAAGCTGTCAGCCATGTCTAAAGGCACAGTTCAGCTCAGGGTTTGTTTTTGTTCTGGGTGGTTTTTTTCCTGAAGGAAGAGGGGCTAAAGGGGTAGAAGGAAGTGGCACCAAAAGGAAAATTTAAGACAACAACTTACTCTTGTATATAGATTGGCTATGAATAGTCAAAACCATCAAAAAGTTTTCTGTTCTGCTAGCATGGACAGAAATCAAAGCAAGGTATGACAACTTTCTGATACTGAATCCTCATTAATTTACTAGTATTTCCAAAATTTAAGCTGTCTTTCCAGTTGTTGCCCTCTTTGAAAGCTTTCCCTTTCCCCTCTTCCACAGGAAAAAATAAATACATTAAAAATGTATGGTATGCAGAGACTAACACTGTTCTCGTAGCAGAATCTATATGCTAGTGGCACAAGGTACATATTTGACAACAGAAAGTTCTCAGTGCTCTCAGGGTTTCCAGAATTCTGAATCACCCTTAGTTATAATTTAAATCTGTTTGTCTAAAAATTAGTAAAAAAGGTCCCAAACCATGAGTGGTGTTTTTAAGTCTTGCGATCCCACACTGTAAACACAGCATTGTATTTTTATATTGCAACTCATATTATGTCATCTCGTTAGCCACTCTTTTCCAGGACCAGAAGGCAATAATTACTAACTCTCTGCTGCTGGATCGTGTCCAAAAAGCGGCTGCTGTTGCAGTTGTTGCTGTTGCTGCTGGTGGTGTTGTGGCTGCTGCCCTGCGACTTGATGCTGTAGCGCTTGAGAAGTCTGAGTCAAGTGCTGTGCCGCCTGATTCTGCATTTGCTGTTGCTGATGCTGTTGGTGTAGTCGCTGTAAGTGCTGCTGCTGCAATTGCTGCTGCTGCTGTATTTGCTGCTGCTGATGCTGCAGCTGCTGTTGTTGCAAATTCTGTTGCTGTAGCTGCTGCAGTTGTTGCTGCTGTAGCTGCTGCTGCTGCAACTGATGGAGTTGCTGTTGCAAGGCATGCTGCTGTTGGAACTGGAGCTGTTGCTGAGGCCGGTGGAGTTGCTGCTGAGGGTGTAACTGCTGCTGTGGAAACTGAAGCTGCTGCTGCGCGAACTGGTGCTGCTGATGAACTTGCTGTTGCTGTTGTGAAAACTGATGAGGCTGTTGCTGTTGGAAAGTCTGCTGGGAAATCTGGGGCTGCTGCTGCTGCTGTTGTAGCTGCATCAGTTGTTGAGGTTGCAGGTGTAAAAGAGGATGGTGCTGTTGTTGCTGTGCTTGATGTGACTGCTGTAATAAATGTGTCTCTGGTGTTAGTTTCACTTGACTAAACAGCACCGCATTTGGATGTCCCTGTTGGCTATGATTTACTTGTTGTTCTAAACTTTTTGTAGGTGCTGAAAGTGATTGTAAGATCTAGAAAACAAAGATTGGTTTCGTGACCTTTTTGTTGTCATTCAGTTTTCAAAATATTTAAAGAACTACTGGGAAAATACAATTCTCAAAAGAAAGGAACTCTATGCTTAAATATGTTGTGAGATAAACAAAAATCTTTAACTCTTAACAGTAAAATGAAAAGACAGGACTTACACATAAAAAGGCGTGGAGCTACACGTGGCTCCTAATATAAGGCAACGCACATTTTAGCAAAATTTAAGATTAAAACTCATCCCTGTATTATTGATGATATCTCCAATAGCATTATGACTATTAACACTGTATTAATAATTACACTGATCAACTCAATCAACTGTAATATTCATTTTACAATCCTGTTGACCCATTAAGTTCAAAGATTAGTTCCATAGTCTTATTTTCTTTAACTTAAAAATGGCTAATAATGCCTAATTAATGCTGTTAGAAACATAGGAACTTAATACAACCTTGCTTTCTTTTGAACCAATTCAGGAACATTTAGCCCTATTTTTTAAACTGAATCCCAAAATAAATAAAAAAAATACACCACCATTGATTTGCTGGTCACTAATACTTTCTTGAGGGAAAAAAACCCTAAACAAACCATGTTTAAGAATAATAGATTTTAGGATTATATAGAGTGCTGAAGTAATCTGGAAGTTAATTTCATTTTTAGATGTACAACTCACTGTTAAAGGAAAAATCATTTCACACTAAGCAGATATAACTTAGCAAGTACATTTTTAAAGCATCAGAAAAGGGAAAATTAGGCAAATTCCTCACAGATTAAGATTAGTTTTACCTATTTATTAAAACATTTTAATATAAACTACCTATTAAAAATTAGAAGAAGCAACAGGAAAACTCTAGACTCGCCATTCATAGTCTTTTAAACATGAAATCAGCTTTGGTGAATCCTGCAAAGCTTGTTTGCTTCACCCACACTATTTCATCTCGTACTCATATGAAGAAAGTGATGTGTGTGTGTGTGTGTGTGTGTGTGTGTGAGAAAGGAATCAAAGCACATCCCTAAAACACAAAGCAAATTAACTGTATCCGCTCAGTGAGGCATCCACCAACTCTTCATCAGAGGTGGCTCAAGTGGTTTTTTACAATGACCTTCAAAATGTCTCAGGGTTCATTTAAGTAATTTTTATGATGTTGGTATAGCAGACATTTACAACCATGATTACCCACCACTGATGTCTAGACAGCACCTCAGTATAAACATTCAATCACTAAAAATGACATACACAAAAAGAATGTTTCTGTGGCTCAGTATGAGGAGAGATCTTCATGCTGCTCTCCACAAAAACTCCCAAAAGTCAAAATTACAGAAGCTTTGGGACACATATTTCAACATAAAGGGATAAAACTTTCAAAAGTATCCTAGGGCTATATTCAGAAAGTACCTTTGTATCTGCAAAATGCCTTATTACTACAGATCTTGCCATTCCACAGAAATCGGGGGTTCAAATTAAACACTAACTTCCTAAGATTGTCCATCAAGACATGGAATCCACCCGAGACTGGTACCCAAGCAGGATGCAAAGTACAATTTAACCTAACCAGAGGGGAGCTATAACGAAAAAGGTAGAATTGGTATTCCTCTCTCTAGGAAGCAGATTCACAATTCACATGCTGCAGCTATCATGGCAACCTACACAGCAGCCTGATGCAGCGCTTGAGAACAGTCCTTGCACATCAGAGTCAAGTCATAGAATCATAGAATGGTTAGGGTTGGAAGGGACCTTAAAGATCATCTAGTTCCAACCCCCTGCCAACAGCAGAGACACCTTCCACTAGACCAGGCTGCTCAAACTTCATCCAGCCTGGCCTTAAACACTTCCAGGGAGGGGGCATCTACAACTTCCTTGGGCAAGTCCCTAGCCTAAGAGACTTCTGAAGAACAAAGTCTAGCTGAAGCACGATACCATCAGCTGCCCTGTAGCTCTATAAATATTACTTACAGGAAAACACCTCCACAGGAACACCACTAAAGATTATTTGATAGTACAATGACTGGGTTGTAGATGTGGTGTTCAGATATGGAGGCATCAGTCAACTTACCAGCACTGGCCAACCGACCAGGACTTTGGCGGTTCTGCTCAGTCCTTACCCAGAAATCTCAGTCCTTAAACAATTCAAGGCACTGAGAAGAGGAATCAGACTCAGTTTTAAAAGGAAGCCTGCATTTCCATTTCATATTTGGAAGTCATATAGACAACAAAGAGCCAACATTTCTGAGTGACTCTACTTTTTGTGTTTAAGTACTAGCTGTAAGCTTCTGTATTATTCAGGCACCTTTGAAAGTTTTACCTTCAGGTGAACACCCAAAAAAATACACCAGTACAATTATTTAAATAAAAGGTACACCTAAGATTTACCAGCATCTACTGTTCTCACGTTCCCTTCCCATGCACATCTTAGAATTTCAATGCTGCAAGTTACTTCAGTGCATGTTCCCTTGCTTTTTATTTTCTTCTAAAAATAAATTCAATACAAAAGCTGCAATTTTATTTCAACTCTAGGAGTGGCATAGGAACTTGTAAGTCCGGACTTCTGCATCATAATCCTGACTATACTATATAACAACTTAATGATGCCGAGCAGAACAACACAGTATAGAACTGAACCTACTGTGAGAACAAGCAATTTCAGTTTTATGTCTTTATAGCACAAATAATTCCTTGCACTGAATAAAAAGCTTGGAGGGTATGAAATCAGGTTACCTGAACTAGACAAATAATTCTAAATTAATGAGGTTTTTTTTCTACTTGTACCAAGAAATCAATACTGAAACTCTAAACCACGCTGCAGTTCACCACAGCTTTACTCTTCCAGACATTTTTTTTCCAAATGCATTCTTACTTCTGGGAACCTGCTAGGAATGAAGTTACTTATCGCAACTTCTAAGTAATACGGAGAAGTTTTAATCCTTTGTACATTTAAAGAACAATAAAAGGAAAGTGAAGTTCTTGGGTATGATAGTTCCTAAGAAAAAGTCCAGTATCTTATAAATTAAAATTCCAACACTTACATGTGCTACATTTGATGGTCTATTAATCTGCTGAATATCAGCACTATTAGTAATATTCCTTAATGTCCGCACGGCTGGACTCCACGTAGCCATCATTTCCTGGCGATCAGAACTTTGGGCACCTTGTACTGAAGCCATGAGATTGCCTCTCATATCTGGAGGCAAAATATTACCTGGCACTGGTGGGACATTGGCACATAAATTAATTAACCCAGAGTCTTTCCCTTGAGGCAACCTACGCTTTGCTGTAGATGCCTGTGGGACTTCAGCTGGTGTCCAATTCAAATTCCTTTCTTGCTTTTCTGGAGAGGAATCTGAAGAATCATCAAACATCAGTTCCCCTTTTGCCTTATCAGCAGGAGTAGATTTTGGTGAAAAAACTTGATCACCCAAAGGTGATCCTTCTCGAGAAGATGGTGGGCTTGATAATTTTTCATCAGTGCTAGCTTCATTTTGAGAATCTTGTTCTTCATTTTCTGCTTCCTCCTCCTCTTCCTCCTCCTCCTCTTCTTCCTCCTCATATATAATTAAACGAGGATGATAAGGAGTCTCTTCTTTTTTAGTCTTATCAGCTATAGAATCCAGTACCCAGTCCGGTGTCACTATTTTAATGCTTTCCCGTTTAAAAGCACATTCATATTTTTCCTGGGTGGGGGGAAAAAAAATATATATTTAAAGATAAAACATCCCAAATAACTTTTCTGAGGGCAGACTACAGCATGGAGAAGCAGATCACAACAGGCTGTCCAGTAACAGAAAGCCATCTCTCCCAGGACCAAAAGGACAAACCACTGCTGTGCATAACCACAAGTTCTAAGAGATTAAAACAAAAAACCCCACAGTTACAATATAAAGGACTCGGAGGACACAACTGCAGAAGATTAAGTCTTTGCTTGCAAAAACACCACTACCCAAAGTCTTCTCAAACCAAATCACAAACGATTAGAAAATCATGAAATCTGGTTCTGAAAAAGCCTTCAGAACTCCAGCAGCTAGGAACATCACAGTCAATAATACGATGTGGCTGATTTTTAGGTGGACATTAAGATGAGCCTAAATGCAGTTCATACTTACATTTTCTCCACTAAAAAAACGCAAACAAAACAAAAAACATATAATGAAAAAGCATTTTTTGAAAAAAGCACAATTTCGCAATAAAGTAGAGACAAATATTTACAAAGTTATGACTGAAAAAAGTACATTTCAGCAGGTTAGGAATACAAATCAGAAACCAGTCGGATATTTCTCATACACCTTCTCAGAAGATGCAAACTGTAATGCTGCCCTCAACTTGAAAGTTACACTTCTGTCCAAATATTGGCTAAATCTATTGCAATAAGAGGTTACAAAGCTGACAAAGTAGAAAACTTTATCCCTCTCTCCTTCCTTATCATTTCATCATTTGAAGATATATACAAATAGTAAAACTTCACTGTTTCCTTTCCTAAGAAACAGAAATGGGAGCAGTGCTCTACTTATTCAAACATCCTCTTTGATGGAGACTCTTCACAAATATCAAGACAGTGGGAAAAAAAAAAAAACAACAACTTTCTTTAGAAGATTTGAAACTCATTTCAGGATCTAATATTTTAAAGTGATTGAACTGGGATTTTCTTTGTATGTCAAACAATACAAATTAAAAACCAGCACATTCAGAGGAAATTAATTTAATTTAATGATTCTCTAGAGCTATTTCCTACAATGAAACTGTCATTCATACACAATAAAGAGATTACAGATGAAACGATGTTTATTTGCAGATATGAGTTTTCATTCTTTCTTTGTGCTGAGAATTATTAAGTATCTTGTTTTATCATCTTGTGTCTAGTCAAAGCAATCATTTAAGTTTTCACTAGTGTCAAAACTGTTCTCATTACAAACTGCTGCACATTCCCTTGTAGTAGTATGTCAGAGCAGCAGGACTAGAAGCATTTTAAGTAATCATCCTAGGAAATTGTTCCCATTCAATGATTACGTAAATTAAACAAGATATTTATTTAATTCTACAGATACTAAATGCTAATGTGGTTTTTTTTCAGTTTCTCGACTGGCAAGCTCAAGACAGCATCCTCTGCTCTAAAAAGGTTATGATTTAAGGCAACACTTCTTAAATGTATATCATTGCCTCTTAAAAACACCATTTTATGTAGCAAAGCTCTTCATCCAAGCATTACAGTTTGTTGTGATGGAGGAGACACCCTTCTAATTCATCCACAGAAGCACTTAAAAAAAACCAACAAAAACCAAAAACCAACACCTTTCCCCCACCCCCCAAAAAAAACCCACTCTACAGAAGTTCTTTATAAATTTAAATGAAACAGTGAAGAAAAAGAAACCATTTCCCATGTCCACACTTTCTCTTCTCCCAATGCTAGCCCATAATTTATTCTAAAGCACTTTCGCATGTATTGCATGTGTAAGTTTACTGTCGTCCTACTGACCACTTGTTTTTCTCCATCTTAGTATTAGATAGTTTAACATTAACTCCAAAATATTAGTTACTCACATTCAAATAACTGACCTGTGTAACCCCTCCCACTGACTGGAAATGAAAAGAAATAGTGGTGGAAATGTTATTAAAGGACAGAAAATAAAACACACAAAAAAAAAAGAAAAATTTTCTCCATCCACCAAGTTAACTAAAAGCATCTGAGCAATCATTTTCAAGTGAGCTCCAATTTGGTTAAAGCACTTTCAGCCTCTGAACAAACACACTAAATCAATTACAATATATTGCTTCTTCAGGAAGAGGAGAACCTGAGCACTGCAGGACGTTTCACTGAGCTATTATAACCCAAGCGTTACAGTAGAGAAATTCTGATGTGCTCAATGCTGCCTTTAGCCAGTTACCTCATCTTTCTCATTCAGTTTCTCCATTTGCATAAAGACAATGCAATGTTTTGCTTCCTACACAGGAGTAGGAAATCAAATGATGATACCAAATTCGGAGGAGCTCAAGGGCAGAGAGGTCTTACAGAGTGATTTGGATAGACTAGAGCTGGGCAACCATCAACCATATGAAATTTAACAAGACCCAAGTGCCCAATTCTGCACCTGAGATGGGGTGATCCTGGTTGTAAGTGCAGATCGAGGGATGAGAGGCTGGAGAGCAGCCCCACAGAAAAAGATCTGGGGGTTTAGGTTGATGACAAGTTGAATATGAGTCAACAGTCTGCCCTGGCAGGCAAAAGGGCCAACCACATGCATCAAGCACAGCATAGCTAGCTGGTGGAGGGAGGTGATTGTCCCACTCTACACTGCACTGCTGTGGCCCCACCTCGGGTACTGTGTGCAGTTTTGGGAACCAAATTTATGTAGGAAAGACATCAAACTGTTAAAGACTGTGTCCAGAGGAGGGCAACCAAGATGGTGAAAGGTCTCAAGGGCAAGACTTATGAGAAGCAGCTGAGGTCACTTGGTTTGTTCAGCTTGGAGACCTCATCACAGACCACAACTTCTTCAAGGCTGGGGGAGAGGAGGTAGGGGGTGCTGATCTCCTCTCTCTGGGGACCAGCAATAGGGCACAAGGAAACAGAAAGAAGCTGCAACAGCACAAGTTCAGATTAGGAAAAGGTTCTTCACTGAGAAGGTGGTTGGTCACTGGAACAGGGTCCCCAAAAAAGTGGTCATAGCACCAAGCCTGTCAGAGTTCAAGGAGCATCTGGACGATGCTCTTAGTCATACGGTTTAGTGTCAGGTAGTCCTGCGAGGAGCAGGGAGCTCGACTCTGATTCTTATGGGTCCCTTCCAACTTGAGATACTCCATGATTCTATGATGGGAGTGATTTCAAGTATGACTATTTTCTCAGCAGTGGACAGGAATGCTGTGTACTGTTTATCCTACCATCTCTCTTTAAGAGGAATGACTGGAGGAATTTTGAGAGTTCTCTTTTCTTTAAGGAAAACAAACAAACAAAAAAAAAAGAAAGCAACCTGTTCCTCCTTCTGCCCTCTTTATTCCTCTCTGCCTCATAACATCAAAGGGCATTTTACACAATTTTTCAATTTTGTCCTTCATTTTTCTTCACTGATTTTCCATCTACAGATTTACAAATCACGATCACTAATGATTATGACATGTGAAAATTAGGTTAAGAGAAAAAGAATAAAGAATAAAATGCTTTATTCATCCAGAAATATAAATATAGAACTGGACACCTTTTGAATTAATCAGGCTTAAAGCCATGCAGAAAATAAATAAAAACTGAATAGTTGCAATGGGTAATTGTTTTGAATTTAGCTGTTCACGACTAACAAACAGCCTTAAGAATCCTAACCTGAGGGAGAGGGAAAATTTTTTATTATTTAAAAGTAAATGAGAGTTACAACAAGAAGAATTGTACGTGTAATAAAGTCTTACCCCCTTTGGCTCAGGCACAATCAAATGAGTACACTTATTATTGAGGCTCAGCTGGCAGTTCCCTCCATAAAAAGTAATCAAAGCCCACAGCGTATTTCGGTCTTCAGACGAAACCTAAAAGGAAGGTAAACAAGCCTTTTAGTTCTATGCAACCCGCTGCCTCCTGCTTAAAGAATTTTTGCACAATCCATGACATACCATTTACAAGGCTGGCTAATGTATCACCTATCACTTTTAAATACCAAATTAGCATGAAAGTTATGGAGAAAAAAGGGTGACAGAGACACAACAAGACATTAAACAATCATTTTTAACCTGCGCAGAGAAAAAGAAAACATTATTTGCTCCTGTACAACTCAACACTAATGTATCACCTTCCACAAGAGAAAAAAGTTAGTGATCAAGCAAACAAGAATTATTTATGTTAGACAACCTGTTTAAATTCATTAAGCAGAATTTTAACAAGTACACCAAATTAATAGCCTGTGTAAACACGTGAAGTGTTTAACAATTTATGTCACAGCAACATCCCCCTCTCCTGCCAAGAAAGCCACATGTAGTTAAGCCATTACCATTCAGAATTAGTGACACTATTACAGGAATAATTTGTTAAAAAGTCTAAAGCACATATATGTGTATATTCCATTAGCACCCAGGGCCTTATCCTGTCCGTCTGCACACACACACTCTGGTCACTGATCTGCAGAGCTGGCTATGAACACCAGCCACTGAAGCACCACCTTTCCACTTGCTTTGCTCACTGGCATCCTCATTACAGCTTCAGTGCCTAAGTAGGTAAAACATGTTGACTGAATATTGTGATAATGCAGAAACAGAAGAACAGGAGCAAAGACTTTATGTAGTGTACTCTGCATTTTAGAATCACCATATAACCAAATACAAGATAAATTACTGATTTTATGTTCACAGTTTGAAATGTTCATGCCTTCAATTTCAGTGAATAACAGTTTTAGGTAATAATTCACCTAACATAGAGAAAAAACGTTATAGTACAACAGAAAAGCCAGTATCTCTCCTCAAAAAAAAACCCCAAAGCATCACACACATACTGTACACTGGAGTAGACTTCAATATGGTTCACTTCTTACCTGAGAGAGACAGGCAGTGACTCCAAAAAAGATCTGACACGATTCTGGAGAAAAGCCATTTACACTGCAAAGCAGGTGTCAAGGATGCAAAATCATTTAAATGAGAGTTTCCTGAGGGGCATTAGAAGGAAATTAAATAGCGTGCATAGTATTTCTCAGACATTATCAAGTATTTGACCATTCAAAAACTTTTATCTTTATAAGCATGTTGTCTGTTTCCAATTCAAGTTGTATGTGTCAGGAAAAACAGAGGTGCAAACTGGATCATAATATTATGACCAATTTTGGTAACATTACAAACTTGCCTATTCCCACAACATCTCCCTTAGCCCATCTCAGGATGCTAAACACAGGAAGTTTAGCTTGTAAGAGTCAAGTCATTACCAAGAGCTTCCTTTCATTATTAAGTGCTTACCTACCATGTTAAAAAATAGAGGAGAATCCAAAGAAGCAACTTGTGCTACAGTCCTCAACAGACAGCATAGAAGGAATATGTTGCACAAGAAATTTGATAAAAAAAGAGTCAGATCAAGAAAAGTGTGGTTAACTAAAAATAAAAGCTAATAGCAGACACCTGTAGAAAGTCACAGTGCCTTTTTTGCACACTTATTAAAAAAGATGGCAATCTGGTGGGTGACTTCACTTAAAACCAGTATGAAATAAAAGCACAGTCTTTTTTAAAAAAAAAGTTATTAAGTAATACAGAAGCCAGGGGTTTCAAAAATGGCAAAGTTTGGTAAAGAAATGGTAGAATTTTTGGTTGAAGGTATCTCTTAGAATTTAACCTGCCTTTTGCACTTTCACAAACACTGGAAAAGTAAAACAGTTTCATGGTTATTAAGTCCACAAAAGGTACTGAACAACAAACATACCAAAGTAACAAGCTCATGTATCAAAAAACCCAACAAACTAAACAAAGTATTAGACAGATTATCTGCAAAAAGTAGTAGGTAGGTCAGTATAAGCAGGTATCGAATCTCCCACAGCTGATTTTTTCCCACTGAGGTGTAACCCTGCATTGGAAGTTGGCTAGGCAACAGACACAGGGCGGGGAGACAGGTGACAGAAACCTAGGAGCCACTGTGGAACACCAACTGAGAAAACATCACACTGGGATGTAAAACCAGAAACACATCTGAAACAAACACAAAGTTTTCCACCATGCTCTCAAAATTCAACAAGATTTCTAGTGGCAATGCATGTTTGTTTTCAGATGCATGAAAAGAGACAGATAAAAGAAACAATATGCAAAAAAGAGCAGTGAGAATTTTTAAAGACCTAGTAAATATGACTTACAAGAGGAAACTGAAGGACCAGAATTGATGTGTGCAAGAAGCTAAGACAACACATCTTCAAACCCTTTAAAGGCTGTCAAATGAAAAGAGAAGTAATTTGTTCTCCCTGTTCAGAGTGGCACTGATAAATCAGAACAGGGTTAGACTGCAGAGCACGGTGATGGGGTTAAATTCTAGCAACACAACAGTGAGGCACTGTAAGGTGACTGAGGAGACTATGAAACTTCCACTACAGGAGGGTTCTTGTGAAACAGGAGAAAACATCTTGACAGAAGCGACCTGGGAAAGACAGACAGACCATCTGACTTCTGTACCTCCCTCCCTTTTCTACACTTTCATATGATTTTGTGTTTAAGATACGTGCACATCTTGTTGGAAAAAATTACTGCAGAAACAGATGTGCATCGTGTTACAAGCACACACTGAGATTTTTTGAAATGAAACAAAATTATTTAACCTGTACTGCTGACAGATGCACCAGCAACACTTAAATTCTGAGACCCAGAAGAGACAACACACAGCAAGCTGACAGAAAAGCTCAGAGCACTTTAAAACTTAAGAATAGATTACTGCCATTATCCAGAATACTCCAAGGAGTTCAAGTCTGATGAACATCCTAAATTTCATTGTGTTGCTCAGTATCTCATCTAAGGTAGAGATTCAGTACCAGATCTTTCAAAAGTGTGCAGTTGTCTACTCCCTGCCTTAACATCTGCTCCTAGCATATAAAGCAGCAACAGCTTGGTATTTCACTTTTAAGAGGTCCCTCAGTTTGACTGCAGCTCCAACTCCCTAAAGAACAGGCGTGAAACAGACCCTCTTAAAACACTCAGAAGTAGCACAACAATAAAGTTCCAAGTGGGTCTGGAAAACAAAAATAAAAAAGAGAGGGAATGCAACAAAACTCACTTTTTTTCCTCCCAGCAACAAAAATTCAGAACCTCTTTCATCTGTACAAGACTGTGCAAAAATAAACCTTCCTCGTTCTTGCTTTTGCTTCTACCAAGAGAATTAAGAAAGAAATCACCAGCCCTCTTTGTGGCATTATAACTGAGGTTTTCACACACAAAACCATCTTTCCTCCTTCACAAAGGCTGCTTCCAGGTTCATTTTTCTGTTACTTCCCTTCAATTGCAGGTTAGTCAAGTTTTGCAAACCTCAGTTAGCAGGGAACAGGAGAACACTGCTGCCTGAAGTTCCACCTGGTGAAAACAACTTTCTCAGTGGAATGTTAAAATGTATTTACAAGAAACAGGCAAAATTATTATGCTTTTATATAGTATTAAATCTTCCTACAATAAACTTCACTTTTAACAACTGACAGGCAAACGCCCATCAAGTAAGTACTGGAATTGGTAAGCCCACATAAAATCTTTAAGGCTTTTATTAGATCCATACATCTACCTGACAAAAGATGTTTCTAAGACCTTCTTTAGAAATTCAGTGATCACTTTGAGCGTTACATCTCCAAATTAAAACATTACCAAAAACCAAAAATGTAGAATCTCAAACCTCTACCTAAACAGGGTTCAAAACCAGTCAACTGGAAAAAGTAAGTTATTCCTACTAACTACTATACTTTTTCATTATGGTAGTACCTAAACCCCTAATGAAAGGCCGGATGCCACTGCACTAGAAGTCATAAAAGAGACTGAAACAGAACACAGTTAAGACTTAACAACCCATTTTAGTGAGCACTATAAGGCTCAGAATAAAACCACCAGGTTCTAAGGACATGAAGTGCTAGAAAGAATAAAGCCTGAGGTCCAAGGACATTTATTGCTGACAGGTGTTCAAAACTTCCTTCTTCCACACAACTCAAGAATATGATACTACTGAGACCTGGTCTTTTCATTTAGCCATTCCTGTACAGTCTCAGTAAAGACTTCCTGAGCAATAGCCATTCACAGCTACATTCACACGTTTATTGCTACAATTTAGTTATGGACTGCATCACTCAATGGTTTTATCCGTTGATTTCTCTTCTGGGTATGTAGTAACGTCAGCTCTTAGAGCATCTTTTAAAATCCCTTGGTTTCAGACAGAAGACCAACTTTCTGATAGTACAACTTCTCCATGGGGAAGAACAGCACTAATAACACAATGATAGATTATTTAAGCCTTAAAATGTAGCTAATTCCAAGCTATTTTATTATTTTTTCAACCAGTCCTCAGGAACAGGGAGAAGGTTTACAGACATCTGATGCAAGCAACTGTGCACTCCCATCCCAATGATGAAAGGATGATAAACACATTTATCATTTCCAGATACAAAACACACAAATCACACAGCTTAGATTACATCACAATAAATACATTATTTTTAACACAGGAGTAGTGCTGCTAATGTGGGTTTTGTCATTGAATGTTTGGTGCATTTTTTCCACTTGGAAGCCAAGTCACCCGTGGAAAGCTTTCTTCTGCTTTGGTCAGAAGACAATCCCTGACTATGGCAAGTGTTTCACACTAACTGCTGAATCCTACCAGCCATGTTGATTATTGTGATCAAAACAGCTGTAAAGATCTCACTATATCATTTATCTGATTAATTCAATGTTTTCTCTTCCTATGGTTCACTCTCTGAGCTGAATTCTCTTGGGGAAGTAGAGAATATACAGGCTATTTCCAAAACAGTCAAGACACAGCACGATGCAAAGGCACATACCTTGAAGTACTGGGTATAAAACATGAATTCCGAATCACTGAAGCACTTTAAGACCTGAATCCCTAATATGAACACCTGGATTCTTGTGTCTACTACCTCTTGGTTTCCATGATAGACACAACCACCTGCTAACCTCATTCCAAAATGAGATCTCCTGCCTGACAGCACACCTCCCTAGGTATCGTTTGTTGCAATCATCCGCGCGTATCTGTAATGAAATGTACGGCTCTGATTTAGCTTTTCCATATACAGAATCTTTAGCATCAATGGTCTGAGAAAAAGATTTGCCCACTTACTGCACTTCAGCCTTTTTCCTGGATCCTCACAGCTAATTAGCAACTTCCAGCTAAAATGTTTTAAGTCCATTTGATGACAGTTTTCTTGCAAGTGCCTATTAAGTATCCAAAATAGCCAGAGGGACAAGAAACCTGAAGTAAGACAAAGAAGCTCCAAGAACGCTGCAATCTTGGCAAACAAAACATATCCTATCATTTTAAAAATTTAAGCTGTACATACTTGAAGCAGTCTTTAATCCCTCGATGGTATCTATTTTAACATGTTTCTTAGAGAACTGATTTAAATTTGAACTTAAAGGATACGGCAGAAGAGCTCCACAGCGAACAGACAGGATCACCCAGGAAGGCTGAAAAATAAAAACCACAACACATTAAAGACCTTGGTCTGCACATCTGAAATGTGAATTGCCTTCCAAGTTCACACTATAGCTAGTTGCAATATACATGTCCAAGCTTTAGAAGTCTAAGTGTTTAACAGACATTGTACTTAGGCCTCTACAAAAAATACTGTTCTGATTTATTTGTAAGAGTTAATAAATGGTTGTGCAGCAGTATGGTAGCAAGATGCCTTTCTCTTGTCCTTCTATTGTGCCAGGAAAACCGTTTACAATATTTATACATCCTCCCCCTTTTTCAGCTTTCTGTGCTCTAAAAGAAATCCCCTACCTTACACTCATCGCCAAGGAGTCAGGAACCATAACCTCATATAGAAAGAATCACAGAATCACAGAAAGGTTTGGGTTGGAAGGGACCTTAAAGATCATCTAGTTCCAACCCCCCTGCCATCAGCAGGGACACCTTCCACTAGACCAGGTTGCTCAAAGCCTCATCCAACCTGGCCTTGAACACTTCCAGGGAGGAGCAGCCACAGCTTCTCTGGGCAGCCTGTTCCAGTGTCTGACCACCCTCACAGGAAATAATTTCTTCCTAATGTCCAGTCTAAACCTACCCTCTTCCAGTTTAAAGCCATTACCCCTCACCCTATAATTCCTTGCCCTTGTCAAAAGTCCCTCCCTAGCCTTCCTAGAGCCCCTTCAGGTACCAGAAGGCCACTACAGGGTCTCCCTGGAGCCTTCTCTTCTCCAGGCTGAACAGTCCCAGCTCTCTCACCCTGTTGTTTCTCTCAGCCTGAAGTTTTTAAACACACAGCCATGAGGGCTGCTGAGCACACAGGTGATGATCCCTAAATGACAGTATTCTGGGAGAGAGGGAGGTGGTGGAGAAGGGAAGAGATGTAGGACAGTGCTTCCCATACAGCATGTAAGGAAGAAGGGGGA